GACGTTTTGGGGGCCACCGAATGAATGATGACAGCGTGATTTCAAATCTCCTCTCTGACAGACAAGGAACAAAGTCACTCTTTCTTTGGTTTCCAGGTCAAATACTTTTCTCCTCCCTCTTGGCCATTCCCCAGCTGTGGCTTGCTCTCTCGCACACCTCCAGATAATATTTGCAGAGGGATGTGTAGGCAGCCAGCCCTCTTGTCTGTCACCTCGGTTGATCCTCGGTACTAAGTTCCCTCACATAGGTGAGGACTTACATCTTCCTGGTTTTACAAAAGCAGGAACTGAAGCCCCTCCTCCGAAATACATGTCACAGGGTCGGAGGGGACAACCTAGTGAAGACAGGAACTGATTTTAGTCCTCCGACCCCAAACCCTGTGCTCATCCTTCCTCCCATAAGCCGCCTCCTTCACGAGCTTTAGAATCCCACATCATTTGGCAACGTTCATTTTGAGTCTAAATTATTTTCTCAAAACCCAAGTCATGACAACAAAGTCAAAACAAAGCAACCTTAGAAAACAAAGGTGCAGCTTTGTCTTGAGGTCAGCTCCCAGGCTGGTTTGTCTTTTAAAGCAGTGGTTCTCAACCTGTGGGCCGAGACCCCTTTGTGTTTTGGGGGGGTTGAATGATCCTTTCACTGAGGTCCCAGTTATGAGGTAGCAACAAAATGAATAATGTTATGGTCGGAGGTCAGCACAACATGAGGAACTGAACTGAGCGTCACAGGCAGCACCAGGAAGGTTGCTGTAAAGCAAAGGGGGTCTTGGAAATGGCACAGCATCCTTTGCTGACAGGGCACCCTGAAACAATTGGACTTGGAACATAGTAACTTCTGATGACTGTGGACTTATGAGTCACAGATGGAAAAAAAATCGCTTCCTCAAGCAGAGGACAGAAGAAGGTAACGAACAATGGAAAGGCCTTTGGTTTTCTGTTCCCAGAACGTTAAATGTCAGTGTAGTATAGTCACGGGTACAATGCCAATCACTTTTTTATACTTTATATATTTTTATTTTATGTGCAGTGGTGTTTTGCCTGTATGCATATCTGTGGGAGTGCATGTGATCCCCTGGAATTGGAGCTGCAGACAATTGTGAGCTGCCATGTGGGTGTTGGGAATTGAACTCAGAACCTTTGGGAAGGCAAACAGTGCTCCCAACCACTGACCCACCACTCAGTCCCCCTTTTGGCTGTTTTGTTTTGAGACAGGGCTTTTTTAAAGATATATTTATTTATTACATATACAGTATTCTGTCTACACACCAGAAGAGGGCACCAGATTGAATTGTAGATGGTTGTGAGCCACCATGTGGTTCCTGGGAATTGAACTCAAGACCTCTAGAAGAGCAGTCAGTGCTCTTAACCTCTGAGCCATCTCTCCAGCCCTGAGACAGGGCTTCTTTATGTAGCCTTGGCTGTCCTGAAATAGTAGACCAGGCTGGCCTCAAACACACAGAGATCCGTCTGCCTCTGCCTCCCGAGTGCTGGGATTAAAGGCATGCCCCACCACTGTCCAGCCATTCCCAATCTATTTTGAAAGCAACCTATCAACAGAGACAATAGTTTTCATTTGTTAATCATCTACTTCCCCCCACCCTCAGCTCTGACTATAGTAAGTGTTGTGGACACAAAAGTGGAGAGACTTCTACACGTGTGGATTGTTTGCTGCTAAGGACCCATGGACAGGATGTCGTGAGCTGTGAAGGAGCAGGGTCCCAGGTGCTGACAGAGGAGAAAGTGGGCAGGTCAATTAAAAAAAAAAAAAAGGCTTAACAAAAGGCAGAGTGCCAAACAGATAACAATGCCCATCTTAGTTTACCTAGCTTGCTAGGAATGGCTCGAGTCACTAGCCACTTTATGGGATTTACCTTCCTTGCTAAGTAGCTACTAAGTGATGATTTGTCCTAGACAGCACAGTACATACTTAACTGTCTTCACTCGGTACTCATTGTCTGTACTGAACACTCTACACACCGTGTTCCTCTTAGGGAGTCGCTGTGTGTGAAACTCACAGAGGCTAAGAAGTCTGGCTGTGCTCGGGCAGGAAATCAGCAGCAGAATGAAGCTTTAAAATTGCTTTTAAGTCTGCCAGGTAGTGGTGGCGCACACCTTTAATCCCAGCACTCGGGAGGCAGAGGAAGGCGGATCTCTGTGAGTTCGAGATCAGCCTGGTCTACAAGAGCGAGTTCCAGGACAGCCTCCAAAGCCACAGAGAAACCCTGTCTCAAAAAACCAAAATAATAATAATAATAAAATAAAAATCACAATGAGGTCTGACACCTTGGTATTGCCCATCACAGCCAATCACGTTGAGGTCTGACACTCCGTGTTGCAGTGAGACCCCCCATTACAGCCAGTCTTATAGCAGCTACTGGTTTCTGGTTATGGGCAAGCTATGTCTTTGCTCTTGCTCTCTGTTGTTGAAACAGCTTATCATTGTAGCTCAAGGTGACTTCCAGTACATTATGTGGCTGAGGATGACCCTGTACTCCACCTCCTGAGTGCAGGCATGTGCTGTTATTCCCACTTTACGCAGTGCTGGGGAAGTCCTGGGGACCAACTGCAGGGCTTTGTGCGTCCTTGGCCCTTTCCTTGTTTGTTGACAATTCTGTGAGGATTTAGAACAACCACCCGGATGATGAAGTAGATTTAGAGAAGTCTGGGAAAGCCACTTCATGACTGATCTATTCTGGATGCCCTAGAAACGCCCTGGTCTACTGAGAGTCACGGTGATGTCACAGTTGGCCCGGTGCCTCCTGAGCTTTCAGGCATTCTCCTCTCCTCATGCTATCTTTCTAGACATGGAAAACATGCTCCTGCAGGCCGCCTACCTGTGACACGTATCCTCCTAATCCTCTTTTTTTTTTTCTTTTTGAGACAGGGTTTCTCTGTGTAGCTAGACATGACTGGTCTTGAACTCCAGAGATCCTCCTACCTCTTCCTCCCGAGTGCTGAAAGGCGTGCACCGACACCGACTGGCTTCCTCTCACATCTTTAAAAGGTCTCAAACACCATTTTCTTCATGGCACCTTTTAAAATGGCACTTTTAGAACTGTACCTCCTACTCCCCATCTCCAGCCTGTTTCTCCAAAGCTATATGGCTAACACATAAGATTTTTATTTTCCTTTTCATCTCCTGCACCTGAGCAAAGTGCATGTTCATGTTTAAATGTTTGTACAAGGTCACACAACTGTGAATTAAAGAGCACAGCAGATAACCCCTTAAGTCACCCCTCCATTACTCCAAATGTATAAAGGGCTCTTGGAAGGTTGTTCGGGGGAAGTTCCACCCAACATTTGGGCCTCCTGTAGAGAGCCACAAGAAAAGAAAATTGAGGTGAGACAAAAAGGCCAAGATATGGGCAGAAAGTTCTAGAAGGAACTGAATAGAACAGAGACAAACCTTACTACAATGCTCTGAGGGCAGAGATTGGTTTGTAGTTTTTGTCTTATTGTAGTTTACACTGTTGTTGGACTTTCTTTAGACTGTCAGTTCTTGAATAATGACATGGAGACTTATTAACTATGAAAGCTTGGCCTTAGGTTAGGCTTGTTCACAACTAGCTCTGAAAACTTGAATTAACCTGTTTATATTAATCTACTTTCTGCATGGCTCATTGTTACCTCTCTTCAGTACTGAATGTTGGAATTCCTCCGGGTCTGGCTGGCCAATCTCCTACGTTAGACTCTTCCTGAGTCCCTATCTCTCCCCAGAAGTCCCGCCTATCCAGCAGCCTGAATAGTTAATCATATTTCAGCCAAAACACACATACAACAGTAGTCCAAGATCTAAGGAACCCAGGTGAGTGGTATAAGCCAGAAATTCCAGTATTTGGGCAGTTCAGGCCAGCCCAGGCTACAAAATAATGAGACCTTCAAAGGAGCTGCAGAAAAGTCACTTAAGTGTTATGCCAGAGGTACCAAGTCACACTGCAACAGATCATCACACTTTCGAAGTATTGCCGGTGTGGCACCTACCACCATACAAAAGTTAATGCATGATACAAAACCTATAAGCAACTGCTATTTCTATATTTACTATTTTAATAGTGCATCCTTCACTAAAACGTTGCATTGGCAGTAGCCATATCTCTCAACTACCAGTTCAATAACCTTGGCTAAATGAGTTTAAGGACAGCCTGGGCTCCATGAGATCGTATCAAACCCCCCACCCAATCAAGGTACAGTTACATGCAGACCTTTCATCTGGTAGCACTGGGTTGCCACACCCATGCAAGCCTGCTGGATAGTCTGAATTAGGACTTGCCCTTCTCTACCTAAAGCGGGGGCGTGTGTTCCCAGACATTCTAGGTTCCCACTTGGACTCCATTCCTTTGCACCACATGGCTACTTACAAACATCGTGGTCTTTTCCTTCTTTCCCATCTTCTTCCTATGAGCAGCTGCAAGATTCACAGCCTGTTTGCCCCATTTTATCTCAAACTCTCATTGCCCTATTTCTGGATTCCAAACCTAAAAAGAACCTCATACTGCAATCCCAGTGCTGTAGCTAGCAGAGGGAGTACCTGAAATAGAATTCTGGGCTAATCACCCTCAAGTCAGTCCTTGCAGGCCAAGAGAGACTGGGGGGGGGCAATGAACCACCCAACAAGCACAGAGAGCATACTGAACTCAGAGAGCCTACTGAGGGATTCTAAGGGACTTTAACTGGACATCTTAAAATGTCCTGTCCTGGCTTCTCCTTGAAACCCTCGGCTGTTGTTAGAACCCTACAGCTCCTGTAGAGTGGAATCATGACCTCACCCTCTGCTCAAAGGGTCCCGCCTCCTTCTCCCTACTTCCTCTCGTCTTTACTCCTCCATCATCCTCTATCTGGGAACCAGTACAGGACTTTCTCATTATGTAAAGAAAACAAAAACTAGTAAAAATTTAAATGAGGGCCCTGCCCACCAGCACTCCTCCAAACATACCCTGTCCCTAAAGGAGAGGGCAGCTATCCACCGCAGCACAAAAACTCAAGCATGTTGAAAAATGACATCGGTAAAATTTGAGGTTTATTAAAGCATCTTATCACAAAGATGGAAACATACAAATTAGAAGCATGCAGCCATCCTCTTCCACGGACAAGTCAAAATACTATTTATGTTTCCTGTTTCATAGAGCTGGAAACTGCAGATCTTATACCCAACTCATTCATCCTAAACACTGTATTCACTCTCCTGAAACTATCCAGGGCATCAAACATCCGAAATACAAACCATTATACAGAGAAAGTGCAAAGTTAAGAAAGAAAATATGGAGAATACCCTTCCCCTCCGTACCCCTCAGTTAAAGGCTAACAATGGCACTTTGTTCTTGCTTAACCTAGATTGTCTTCAAAAAGTCTCTAAAATGTGATACTTAACAAAAAGGTTTTAATACATGTCCAAAAGCTCCTTAGTGTTTGAAAATAAACGCTCAGACAGGACAGTGCACTTTAGATCAAACAAGTCTGAGAGCCCTGCGTTGCAGCTTTCCGTAAAATACACAAGACAAGAAGCTGGTATAGTGTTTATTGACAAGGCACTCCTCAGGCAGGCAGGTAAGGAGGCGGAGGCTCTTTCTCAGGCATCTTCACGGCCATCTCGTAGGTTGGCAGAACGTACTGAAGAGAGAAAAGAATTACATCAGGTGACATCCCTTTACAGTCTATTCTAGAACAGCCAGGTTTCAGTCTATGTCCTAAGTATGCAGGAGCCCATGACCCTGAGGTAGAGCTGAAGTGTTAGCTCAACAGTTCCCGAGAACACAGCCAGGATGGACAGAACTGGATGGATGGATGGATACGGGTAGGTGGGTGTGTGCATGGATGGGATGTGTGGTGCTTTGAGTAAGAATGTTCCCCAACCCATGGGCTCATATATTTGAATGCTTAATCAGCAGGGAGTGGAACTCTTTGATAGGATTACAAGAATTAGGAGAAATGGCTTAATTGACTGGGAGAGGCTTTGAAGTTTCAAAAACCCATGCCAGGCCTAGTTTGTCTTTCTCTGCTCTCAGCTACTTCTCTAGTGTCCCGCCTACCTGCCACCACGCCACACTCCCCATGATGATAGCAGACCAAGCCCCTGAAACTGTAAACAAACCCCAACTAGATACTTTCTTTTTTAATAAGAGTTGTCTTGTTATGCTATCTCTTCACAGCAATGGGACAGTGACCAAGATAGGATGGAGGAATGAATGAGATGGATGAGAGAGATGGATAGATGGATGGATGGATGGATAGAGGGAGGGATGAAGGGTGGGTGGGAGGGAGGGAACAAGGGAGGGATAAGATGGATGGGATGGGAGGGAGGAGGGGAGGGAGGGGTGAACAGCAGGCAGTCAGAATTAGAATTCTTCCTATGGACTAACCTGGTAGATAGACTAACACACTAACCCATGTATATTTTAAAAAATACAAAGGATCTCCTGATGGGCAACCAATAAAGCTCCAATGCTAACTGCACTTCAAGGGTTGAGGATCTGCTGGGTGTGGTGGTGCACACCTTTAATCCCAGCACTAGGGAGGCAGAGGCAGTCGATCTCTGTGAGTTCGAGGCCAGCCTGGTCTACAAGAGTTCCAGTTCCACAGAGAAACCCTGTCTCAAGAAAAAAAGAAGACAGCAGAGCAGCAAAGAGGGTTGTGAGAGGTAGGCTCAGCACCCAGACTTCATCACAATCATCTCCCTCTTCTCTCTCTCCACCCCTCCCCTAGCTTATTTTTCCAGAAACAACGCTTGTGAGGACCACTAACAAATAAACCTAGCAGTCAAGCTAGGCCAACAATGCAAAGAGTTCTAGCCCTGTGTGCACAAGATTCCTGTGAGAAATGCTAAGTCTTACACATTCGTGGGTTCAAGATATTCATGTCCCAAACAAACCACAGTTATGGTACAGGACAGACAATCCTGCAAGTGTCAGTAATAGTGAGCGAGTCAGAGTTGGTGTGTGAACCCGTAGTTAACCTGTGGCGGAGCTTCAAAGGCAGGGTACACAGCAATCTCCGGCACGTTTCTGTTGTTGATGTATTTGTAGCAGTTCCAAACACAATTGATTAGGTAAGCCTGAAAGAAGAACAGAGCTCAGCAGGCTGCTCTGGGGGCTGGGGACCTCCATGCCTTCTGCACTGTCTGAGGAGAAGGAACCCAGTACAAGCAGGCTCACTCCCAACTGGCTCTCATCTAAGCATCTCAAGTTTCTCACGGAGATTCTAGCTGGAGATTTAGGACTGCTGACTAAGACACTGTGGAGGAAACTCCAGTGCTCCAAATGTTGGGAATTTTAATGGATTTCCACTACGAACCATGAAGCACTTTTGAAAATATAAAAGTGCCAACCACTCAGTGGACCCAGGACAGGGGGACCCACCCCTTACCAGGAAGTCCTCTCTACCACTGTGCCAGGAACAACACCATCACTACCAATCCTATATCACCTATGACCCATAAGGAGACAGGACAGGGAAAAGGGTTACTGGCCAGTCTCACTAGACCACCCCCAAGAGTGAATCACAAGTTGCATACCTTAAAAATGATGAATACCACAAAGAACACAAGAACAATAAACAGGAGGCAGCTGGAGTCCAAAGCCAGGAGGTCATCTTTGTAGGGGAAATCAGGCTGTGAAAACACAAACACAGCGACAGCGCCACCATGGCACCTGTGCTTCTGATAATCTCAAGAGTATTTTAAGAACATGAACTTTAGTCAAATCAGAAGCGACAGGCTACTGAAATTTACACACAGGAATCAACACAGCATGCCTGAGACCCGTATCATCAACAGATACACTAACACCCGTATCTACTTATTTAACAGCCAGGATAACTAACTAAAAAGTCTGAGCAGAGCTAACATTCTCTTTACTAGCCACCATTTTCCATCTTTCTGGCCTTATAGTTTGACAAAATGTAACCACTTGTATGTCACCCCAGCCTTGTCTTGAGTCAGGAAATCAGAGAAGCTGAGATTGCTCAAGTTGCCAGGACCATTTAGTCTTCCATGAAGAAAGTAACTTTTCTAGGAGTCAAATGTTGGTGTCAACTCTGCATTTGATGAGTAAGAGGCAGGAGGACATGATTTACTGCTGACACACTCACTGTACTGGAAAGGGTCAGCACATTCATTCATCCGACTCTAGACTAACTCTCTTTATAGACTTGTAGTTCTGGGCTGTCCAAATGGTATGGTACAATGGTCATCTATTCCTATCATACAGGTTTTAACATGGAAGTGATTTTAAAATACTGCAAAGAGCAAAGAGTTAAAAACAGTCCCTACGGCTGCCTCAGGATTGCAATTAAAATACTTAGATGGAAGAGTTTAAACAGCACACACACTTACTAACTGATCCAGATACTCTTTGATTCTTGGCAAGTAAGTGAGAGAACTGATGGCCACCAGACAACTGAGAACGAAGTCAAAAAGCCGGTAGCAGAAGAACGGGATCAGCCAGCCCACCTGATACTGCAAAGGAAAAGAAACATTTAGTACACTCATAAAACCACTACCCCTGCTAAAGGTCAAATTAGGAAAGATGAAACCACGAAAGACTTACAGAAATTGCTCCATATACCAGCATTGAGCTGATGATAAACATAAGAACAGAGACGGCAAAAAGAACACAGGCATTATCTAAGAAAACAGAAACAGAAATCTAAGTAAGCAACATATGCAATGAAAGGAACCAAACTCTTTGTGATAAAATGATGCTTTAAAATGTTCACAAGTAAATTAACTATAATTACTTTCAAAATTGGCTCTCAAAAGATCTAAGGCCAAGAAGAGAAGAAAATCTAAGCCTTGGCATTAAGAAATCTTGAGAAATTTACACGCCTTGCCATGTTAAACTGCTGCAACAATTCACTGACTTTGAGATGGAACATGAACTGTGTAATTCTGTAGGAAAACATGTCCCTTGTGCCTCTGCATGTCAGAGTGCAAAGAGACAATTAAAATCCAGCATGGCAAGTTGAAACACAGGCAGAAGCAATGAAAGAACCATGAAAGAATTCACACAAGCTAGCTTTGGGAGATGAGGGTTTAACTGGAAGGAAAAGTTACTGTTTGCTTCAAAGACGGACAGATGAGCTACACACAGAAACTATAGATGTATCTCTTGCTTTGATAAGGCTACAGCCTGAAATTCAAAGTTCTCCATTAATCCCATGCCAGCATCTCAACCTTTAACCTGTGGTGAATTCTTTCAGTTTGCCTTCTCTCCCTACACAGGTCTGCATTAATCCCAGTCACTATTTTCTTCAGAACACACCCAAACAATCTCAAAACCATACTTGACTGGGTGAGTTTCTTCACAACCTGTAGATGACCCCATGACCCTGCACAGATGCTAATAAACCAAAGGGAGAAGGGCTTATGGAGATGGCTCGACTGGGTGCTTTTGCACAGGGCCCAGGTACAGTTCCCAGCACCCATGTCAGGCGGCTCACAATCACCTGTAACTCCAGCTTCAGGGCATCAGATGCTGCTGGCTTCTAGGCACCTGCTCTCACACACACATACTCCTACACATACACATAACTGAAAGCTTAAAAAGAAACTAAAGTACAACAAAAATGATGAATAACCGCTAAATATTCATACTATTGGATATTTAAATATAATCTTATCACTGAGCATTACAAACACCGTCTGTATTTAACATTAATGGCTGTTTCATCATCATTGCTCCCGCTCCACTATTAAGGAATGAAAAGATCTCCCCACTGGAGGATTAAGCTACAAAGCAAGACTGACCCCTGACTCAAAAGAAGGATTCATTATTATTTGGAGACTAGGCGAGGGAGTTCAAACAAAAACAAATTAATCAGAAGACTTGGTTTTTTTTTAAAAAAGTACATTATAAATGCCCATCAGTTGATTTCATTCTATTGTGTACTGCAGCCATATAGAATTCTTCTTGCTTCCTGAAAAATTAAGTTATCCATGAAGAAGAAGAAGAAAAAAAAAAAGAGACAGATCAGGACTGGAGACATCTCAGCTCACGGTTCTTACAGAGCAACCAGGTTTGGTCCCCAGCACATGCATGGTAACTTATAAAACTCCAGTTCACACCGCCTTCTTCTGGCCTCTACCGACACTGCACACACATGGTACACAGACATACATGCAGGCAGAACATTCACAAAGAAAGTAATCTTTAAGAATGATACAAATAGGGCTGGAGCATTTAGATGGCTCAGCGGTTAAAAGCCCTGACTGTTCTTCCAGAGGTCCTGAGTTCAATTCCCAGCGACCACATGGTGGCTCACAACCACCTTGAATGAGATCTGGTGCCCTCTGCTGGCATGCAGGCAGAAGACTGTATACACAATACATAAATAAATAAAATATAAAAAAATTTTAAAAAAGGAATGATACAAATATTCATCCTTGGAATTTACATTTCATCCTTAAAATGTAAAGAAGTTCAGAACTTCATATTAAAAGGTAATACAATTTTAAATGTGGAATTAAGATCTATAGTATTATAACCATCATCTGGGAATATCTTTCTGAACTGAAACTTAACAACTAAACATGTAGGAACTATATTTCAAACCCTGGGGCATAATTTTCTGTTTAAGTATTAAACTTATGATATAACTTGTAATAACATAAATTCAACCAGAATTGTTTTATACCTGTATTATAAAGAACTGGGAATAAAAAAAATAACTGCTACCAGAGAATAATGATTTAAATGACAATTTCTATGACTGTTGTTAGGGCTGTTTCTTTTCAGTAGCAGTGTAAAGTCTTTTCCACACTGTATTTTATACTCTACTGTAATAGTCCATTTGCACTAACACAAATTTCTGACCCTGGTTACACATGGCAGCAAGTCCTCAAAGTCTAGACCGGTTTTATTTACCATTTCCTCTGTCTCTGGTCTCTACAGTCAAGGCACATACAACCAACCATACATTTCTCCAAGATCTAGAAATCCATCACTTCTTCTGTCCAGAAATGCTCTACTGAATACCTTTGGGGAAAGTCATCAAAATACTTTCCTGTCTCAACAAGTAGCTTAAATAACACTTAACTTGTTACTTACTATGTAATTATTCAACCTTTTGAAGTGTAACTGAAGCATAATTTCATCAACCTTCCTCTAATATTCCTATGTAGACTACAACTGGCTTTATATGTAAAAACTTGGCAGTGATCTCTTTTAAGGTAAAAACTCACCAGCCATTCTCTCAGATGAATAGTAATTACCAATGACTTCATACTGAATGTTGACAGCTGGCATGGAGTTTGGATGAGTCACTTCCACAGTCAGCAAAATCGCCATCAATAGGTTGACCACCTGAGAAAGACAACAGCCATCCATTAACTTCTATCAGGGAACAATCTTCACAGTCTCCAGACACAGTTACATCTAATAGTGTTTCACCTGAGTGTCAAGGCTATGAATGGGAGACACTCACAGCACGTGCAATTACCATAGTGAGGGCAGTTAAAGGCCATAGCATATATAAAGATGCCTAATACTGTGCTAACGCCAACAGACCAGAAGAAAATGAACAGAAGTAAAATTAGGGCATCATTACACACTCCATGTTCAGAGGCACATATTTCTTCACACCCCCATGCACTTGGTTCAAGTTTAAACGATTCCCTAAAGGAGTGATGGTGCCCCTCGCTCTCCCTGCATGGGTCTTAATTCCACCTTCTGAGTCAGTGTGTTCCTCTACTACCCACAGCAGCCTCCAAACACTGCGGGGACTAAACACCCAGGTCCTCAGACCACCCCTCTACCTTTCTAGCATGTTTCAGCTACCTGCCTATTTCCCTAAGTTCCAGTGTAATGGACAAGTTCCCCAGCATGGCTCACAAATTCCAAAGGCAACTGTACAAGCTTTGTACATTTTTGCAATGTCACACAGGAGTAATTATACAACACTTAGCTGTTTTTCCATACGTAATCCGATAAGCAGATTCCAAGGCTTGGGCATAGCCTTCAATGAATCTGAAACTAAATTTCATCTTACTATATCCTGCCCACCAAGGTCTTTCTAGAATTTTGACATCCTACCGACACACATAGCTAAGGAATAGCTTTGGTTGTTTCCCAAACATCTTGCTGAAATCCATCATAAACCATGAACTGCCCTCGTCTACCAGGGAGACAAACCCCATCTTCACATTATGCAGCACCCTGGCTGTGATCTCTGCAGTCTTTCAGGACAGATAGGCCTCTAGTGCCAGAACAGTCCTGTCAGCTGGGCAGTGGTGGCTCACGCCTTTAATCCCAGCACTCAGGAGGCAGAGGATCTCTGTGAGTTCGAGGCCAGCCTGGTCTACAAGAATTCCAGGACAACCTCCAAAGCCACAGAGAAACCCTGTCACAAAAAACAAACAAAAAAACCAAACAGAACAGTCCTGTCAGAGATTCTATGGAAACCAGTATAGTGTGAAGATAAGACGAACTCTGTAAAGAGAAGCTTTTTCCTTGAGAGAAGCCTTCCCACCAGCCTGGTTCCAGAGCTGCATCAGTCCCAAATAAACACACAGGAGGCTTGTTTCTTACTGGCTAGCTCTGACTTAAGTATTTATCCCATAATTGTTAATCTAAGTATGTCTCTTACCGGAGAATAGTTCCGGGCTTCCTACCCCATGGCGTTACATCTTGACTCTCTGTGTTTCTCCTTCCCAGAGTCCTCCTGGACTCCTAGTCCCACCTATCTAGATTCCTATTGGCCAGCAGTGCTTTATTGACATATACATAGGACTTCCCACATCAGAACCCCATAAGCAAAGTTAACAGAATCTGCCCGCCTCTTCCTTGTGGAAGTTCTAACCTTAGACACTCCCAAGTAGCAACAGTACCTGAAACGACTCTCCCCTGTCCACCCTAAATGATGGATGAATAATAACACACAAGAAAGATATTTTCTTTCTACCAGGCCAAGCCTTCAAATATTTGGTAGAAAAGCACGCCAAGTTTTAAGTGTGATATGGTATCTTGCGCTGGGAAATTAGTTTGCAATTCATTCAGCAAACTCGTTTGCTCAACACGATTATAATCCTAGTAAAAAAAGCTTTGCACGGCACAGAAAACTATGCCAAGGAAAGCATGCAAACCTAGCTACCAAATGAAGGAAATGAAACACCAAAACTACTCAGGGGGCTTACATATATTTGCATGTACATATATATGTGTGTACATAGTTGTAGCTGAAATATATTTACATGTACATATATATGTGTGTACATAGTTGTAGCTGTTTCTGTCCTTTCTCACATTTTTTGGAAGCTGCTTGCTTGCATTTCCTACTTAATCAGTTAATATTATTTCCTTCTCAGGTCTCTGAGGGAGTTGAAGACTAAATAGTTATAGTTACAGTTTTCTTTGATTACCAGACTCAGGAAAGAAACTCACTAAAGAGGTGTAAAGTATAAAAGGTTGAGAGACATTAAAAGATAATTTGATAATGCAAATTAGAATAGAAAGTGAATTAGGTACAATACTTTAGACTCACCAAGATAGGATAGATAATGGAGTATTTTCTCTGAATTTGTCCAGTGCAAATGGATGTATTTATTGCCTGTGTATATTGTACATAGTTATTATACTTATTGTATGTAGCTTTTCTTGTATTAGTTATAACCTTTTTATTTTAAACAAACAAAGGGGAAATGTGGCGATATTTTATAATTTAACAGATATAGCTTGCCTGAAGATCAGAGTGCAAAACTAGCCACACTAGTTAGCCATATAGGCCAGGCAGTGGTGGTATATACCTTTAACCCCAGGACTTGGGAGACAGAGGATCTCTGTCAGTTCAAGGACACTCTGGGCTTCAGGTGATTGAATCTATCTAAAAGAGAAACAGAGCTCACACAAAGGTGATCCCAGCACTTGGGATACCACCCATTTAATCCCAGCACTAGAGAAGAATACAAGGTGGGAGGAGACAGGAACTCAGGGCAACCTGAGGTTTGGTGGAGAGACTCAGGCTGGAGATGCAGTGGAGGACATCTAAGCATTGCTAGAGGGGAGAGCTCTCTAATGGCTGGCCGCTTTGCTTCTCTGATCTTCAGCTTTAACCCCAGTATCTGTCTCTGGGTTATTACTATTAACACCAATTAGAATTCATGCTACATGTGTGTGTGTTTCTTTTGTTTACTAAGAATTTACATTCTTGCCCAAAAATGTCTTGCCCACACTATCCTGGTTGCTGTGTGTGTTCTCTTTTGGTCAACTTAGCACGAGTTACAGTCATCTTGAAACAGGGACTCTCAATTGAGAAAATGCAGGCAATTCTGTAGTTCACTTTCACTTTTTGATTAATAATTGATGTGGGGGCACCCAGCTCACTGAGGATGGTGCTACCACTGGACAGGTGGTCCTGACAGGCGTTAGAAAGCAGGCTGAGCAAGCAGGAAGCAGAGCTCCTCCATAGCATCTGCTCCAGTTCCTCTAGGCCCTGCCCCGAATTCCCCCTTATGATGGGCCTACTATGTGGAAGTGAAAGCTACCAAGTGTTTTCCCCCTCCACAAGCTGCTTCCAGTCACGGTGTTTCATCACAGCCACAGAAGACAGACTGACGTCAGTGCTCCCCCTGGTTCTCTCCTAGCAGGGTTAGTTTCAAGTTTTCTACTCAAGAACTGTGTAATAGTTAAGCCGCCTTATATACACGAGAGAGAAGGTCTGGTTTCATTCTTCTACAGGTGAGGACAGTTTTCCCAGCACTATTCACTGGGGAGAACGTGTGTGCCCAGATGTCTATTTCTGGTACCTCTGTTGAAAATCGCTTGGCTGTTGAGTGTGGTTACTTTTCGGTTCTCTAGTCTGTCCCGTTGGTCCTTATGTCTATTTTTGTAGCAGAACTTGTTATGCCAGCTTCTCATTCTGAAACTGGACAGTGTGATACTTCCAGCCTTGGCCCTTTTGCTCAAGACTTCTTTGGTACAGTCTATTGGTTCCATTCAACTTTTAGGAATTGTTTTCACTTATTAAGGGAAAGACAACAGGTAGTACCTTGCATTTACAGATCCCTTTTGTAGTATGGTACCTAACAATACTAACAGTGACTCGTGGATACAGGATGTCTTTCCAAGTTTGTGACCTGTTCAAAGTCTTCCGTCAATGTTTCATTTCACTGCAGATTCTTTCACCTCCTGGTTAGACTGGGGTGGTTTCCTTGTTTTTATCGCTATTCCTAATTTTTCTCTGACAGTCACTATTGGCATATAAACACGTTAAAGTTGTTTTACTATTCCACAACTCCAAGTTTACTAATTCTGAGTTGTCTTTCAGGCTTCAGGATTCTCTACACATCTGTGACTGTGTCATCTGTAAGCCCTTCATCCATTTCTCTGGTCAAATTGATCTGACCATGCTAAACAGAAGTGCTAAGAGGAAGCACTATTATGTGGTTTCTGATCTTAGAGAAGAGCTATTTTGGTATGGTGCTAGCTGTCAGTATCATATAGCTTTTATTGTGTTGCATATCCACTTTAAGAGTATTTTTCAAATATTCTATTTATAGATGTTTTGCCTACATGCCTATCAGTGCACTGTATGTCTGGTGCCTGGAGGAGGCTAAAAGAGGGTGTCTGATTCCTGGAACTGGAGTTAAACCATTGTGAATCAGTTGTGAACAACCACATGGGCGCTAGGAATTGAACTCTTAGCTACCGGGTCATCACTCCAGTCCTACTTTATTCATGTGATGGAACTTATTACATACGTAACTGCACCTACTGAAATGGTTTTATGGATTCAGTCCTATAGCCTATGTATACACCACAATTATTAATTTTTACATAGGTTGAGCTATCCTTGAATCCTTAGGAGAAATCCCACTTGATGAGGATTTACTTTATAACGTGATACTGAATTGTTTACCCATGTTTTATTGCAAATGTCTGCACTGTTCATCAGAGATACTGGCCAAGAGTGTTTTGTTTACGAGTTTTTTATTGTTTGTTTTATGTGCTCCATTTTTATAAACTAATTTGGAAATATAGTAGTAAGTGACTCTTTCCTTGTTCTGTTCTCTGGTATTCTTCTCTTTACAGGCCATCTTTGAAAACCTAATTCTAAGTTTTCCAATTTGTTGGCAGACAGTTCTTTGTACGAGTCTCTTAAACACCTGAATAGTATCAATTCTATCATTTCCTTTCTCATCTGATTCTGATTTTTTTCCTCCTTCTTAGCCTAGCTAAAGGTTTGAAAACTTCAAAATCTCACCAGGCAAAGTGACCCATGCCTATAATCGCAGCATTTGGAAGGCTGAGACAGGAGGAGCATGTGAGTCCAAGGCCAGCATGGGCTACAAAGTGAGCTGCTCAGAAGTGTAAAACATTTTTATTTCTGCTCTTATCTTTTATCTCTTCTCTCCTCCTACTGGCTTTAGACTTAGTTCTTGGTTTTCCTAGTTCCTTAAGAAATAGCATTGTTTGCAACTCTTCTACTTTTGATGTAGGTACTTCTGGAGCTGTGAATTCCCTCGCCAATTTTGCCGTGTCCCTGGCTTTGAAACACTGCTGCTACCTTCATTTGTTTCAAGAAATTTGGAATTCGTCCTTTTAATCTCTTTTTTGCTGCATCATTTGGAGAGTGCAGCTTCATTTCCTGGTTCTGAAATGACTCCCCTCCCTCCTTATAGCAGTTTCTAGTTCTACTGAACTGTGATTAGGAAAGTTACTCAACATTATTTCAGTTCTGAAGAATTTGCTCAGACTCGATTTGTAGCCAATGTCTATCCTGCAGAATGGAAACTCCATCCCTGAAGCCCACATTGAGAGCTGTGCCACTAATCCCAGCACTCACTCAGGCCATCCCAGCACTCACTCAGAAGGGAATCCCAGCACTCACTCAGAAGGTCATCCCAGCACTCAGAAGGCACAAGGCAAATGTCTGTGAGTTGAGGCCAGCCTGGTCACACAGCTAGCTACAGACCAAGCAGGTGACCTGCACCCAGAAAAAAATAAATAAAGCAAGCCTACCCAGTGACACACGTCTGTAATCCTGCAATGAGTGTGAAATGGGATACCCAGAGAGGAGAATCACCTGAAAGCTCAAGCCTGGAGAAAGCAGCCTGGCAGGAAACTGCAACAAATATAGAGGACAAGAACTCTTTCGACCTCCACACATTCAGTGTGACACACACGCGCACGCGCGCGCTCGTGCGCGCACACACGCGCGCGCACACACACACACACACACACACACACACACACAATGTAAACCTGAATCTCACATCAGTACCCAAAGGAGTATCAATAACAATTTCTAATAACGTATTCTATGTATATGAGTGTTCTGCTGCATCTATGCACCATTTGCATGCCTGGTGCCCACACAGGTCAGAAAGTGCTGGATCCCCTAGAACTCAAGTTGCAGACAGTTTCGAGCAGCCATGTGGGTGCTGGGAATAGAACCTGGGTCCTCTGGAAGAGCAGCCAGTGCTCAACCACTGAGCCACCTCTTCAATTATGACCCTTTAATTTGAAAAAAACAAACAAACAAACACATTACCCCTCAGTTTTCTCACAGCATCTTCTGTCCCAAAGCGGTATCTTCTGAGACTATAACTAACAGAATGTGTCTGGTTAAGGACACAATAATGATGTCCTAGGCAGGGAGCCCCTTCAGGCAAACCAGCACACAAAAACACACAGAACTGACAAATGATAAAGATCAAAATGATCATCTTCAGAAAAGATTTCATTTATTATGTTTAATTACAACTAATTTACCCCTATTTTTAAGAGATAATTCATTCCACAAGTGTCTACTGAATACCTCAAATGTTGTAATTAAAAATAAGTTAGCTTCTAGATACTTTTTTTAGTATTACTTCATAACTTTTTAAATCTGAAGATTTTCCTCAATAGACTAATTGAAAACGAGACTATGGGTCCACATAGCTCAGAGAACAAAGACACTTGCAACACAGGCCTGGTGAACTGATTCAGTCTGCAGAACTTACACGGAGGTGGAAGAAGTCCCACAAAACTGTCCACTGACTCCACCCCCCATCATACATGAATACATACAGTAAGGGTGAATTTAAAAAGAATTTTTAAGTGAATTAAAAGGCAGAATAGAGGAAAGAAATAGCACGTACTGAAAGCACACACCAATGCGGTGGGATGGGTGGACGCTCGCATGCACGCACGCATGCACGCAAACTCTCAGGTACACTTAAGGAGCCAGGCCTAATGGGTGGAGGCCCCTGTGACGAGAGGAAATCTGTCCTCACTCCTACCCAATGCTACATTACTTAAGGATAAAACATCCATGAGAAAGTCTTCCGTTACACAAGCCTAAAATGTCTTTGTATCATGAAGATTACCTCCAGCAACAGGCTTTTAAATTCCATATTCATGATTCAACACATACTTGAGTTCACATCCCCTAAGAATTTATTTAAAATAACCTGGCTTCAAATTCTTTAATTAATGATAAAGACATGAACTCGAGGAATGTAGAAATTTAATTGCGTATTACTCAGGCCACGTATTTCTTTCAACTTAGAAACATCAGATGCCAACTCTTCAGGTATGGCACCTCTACTACATGTGACCGATTCTGGTTTTATGTTCCACAGAACTATTCAATACCAACTATTAATACTTAAGGGTTTGAGCTGGGTGGTAGTGGCACACACCCAATCCCAGCACTCAGGAGATAGAGGCAGGAAGATCTCTTTGAGTTCCAGGACAGCCAGGGCTACCCAGAAAAACCATCTCAAAAAACAAACAAACAAACAAAAAACTTAAGGGCTTGGTTTGGTTTTGGAAATAGGCTGGCCTATGGCCAAGGCTGGACTTGAACTCCTGATCCTCCTAATAGACAGCACCTCCCTAAGTTTGCCACCATGCCTGGCTCCGTACAATTAATTAATCCTTTGGTATATAGGATTGTGTCAGCCTTAACAGAAAACCCATAGAAGCCAATGCAAGAAATCAATGATGTCATTATGAGTGGCAGACAGAGTGTCCAGGTCCAGCAGGAAGGAGGGCCGTGTCTCCAAGTTTCAAACACCACAGGAAGAATCACAAACTCAAGCCTTACTCCAGATAGCCCAACCCGGCTCATCAATATTCTCCCTCACAGATGGAGAGGTGCTGTTCCCTTGGAGTCAAGGAGCAGCGCTCATGACACAGTGAGTAGGATGGCAACAGTGGCAAGGGAGAAATAAGGAGGAAAGGACATTCCACCTGTTGTCACCGAGTGTCTCCATTTTACTGGAGCTTATGACAGCAGAATGCGCAATTAGGGCAGTCTTTACTTAGAGGCATTACACATTATACTATTCCCATCTCCTAAGTGTGCCCCAACTGGCAGAAAGTATGTCTTTATATGCTACAGAGCTGAGGCTTGTGTATTTTTGAAGTTGCCAACAATACTGCCATAAGCAAAACAAATGCTGTTTCCTCTTCATAATCTGATTAGAATCTGCTATCACTGCTCATCTTCCTCCCTTGTGACTGTAAGTTCCACTTTCCTGGCTGTGCTCCAAAGTTCTCTGTAACACTGTCAACATTAAGGGATGACGTCATGGTCAGAGCAAGCAGCACTAGAATCTCCCATGCAGTGGGTAGTGTGAACGGAGAAGTCATACAAGGTGGGTGATCTATCCCTTCTGGATGTCAGTCAAGAGCCCCTTAAGTGGCAGTAAATCTTGTCCATTATTAAAACAAATCAACTGAATTAAACAGTTTACAATAATCTAACCTGAAAGTGGACACAAAATAAGCATCTTTTCAAAACTGGGGGGGGCAGGTGGCATTTCACACCAAGAGCTTCAATTGTACTACATATTTAAACCTCTCGATCCCTATCTTGTTAAAAAAAATTAATTTCCGCCGGGCAGTGGTGGCGCACGCCTTTAATCCCAGCACTCGGGAGGCAGAGGCAGGCGGATCTCTGTGAGTTCGAGGCCGGGCTGGACCGATAGCCTCCAAAACAATACAGAGAAACCCTGTCTCGTAAAACCAAAAAAAAAAAAAAAAAAAAATTTAATTTCCTGAGGGCTGGATTGGTAGGCGGCTCAGTGGTAAAGAACACCGGTCGCTCTTTCGGAGGACCTGAGTTCGACACCGAGACATACACGGCTAACAACCATGTCCAGTAACTCCAGTCCCAGGAGAATCTAACCCCTTTTGTCCTCCAGAGGCACTGCATGAACATAACTGCTACACAGACAAACGTGCAGGCAAAACACCCACAGTAAAAAAGTTCTCACTACAGTTTTTCACTCTGCATTCTGAATTCTCTGTTCATTCTTAATAAACAAAATGCACACAAACCCCTCCTAACAAAGAGTGTAGAGAAAAGCTGCCAATGTATCAGAATGGCTGAAGGGGGTGATTTTCTTCTTCAGAGGGCTTTGAAGCCCTTAGGCTGCGAGTGGGGGGATGGGAGAAGAAACAGAGTAAGAAGTTTGCAGGCAAGAATCCCAGGCTCTAATCCTATTTTCTCAGCTAAGTTCAGGGGAAGGTCATTTTCTGGGCAGGGATGGTGTGTGGTCAGACTTGGTGATGGGCAAGATATGAATTAATCTTTCAGGAGAATGGAAGACGTAGAAGGACAAAAGACATTAAAAACCTACACTCCCGGCCAAAGGAAAACAAGCAAGAGGAAGCTAGATCTACAATCCAGCTGACTGTCATTACTTAGTCCAGTCCAGGGCTACAGCTCAGTTAACACACACAATAAGCAGTTTGTTAAAGAATATGTGGCATAATTAATTGTATAGCAGCAGTAAGTTCTTCTCGAAAGTACGGAAAACATGGAAACAACCTCCACATTTCGTGCTTTCTTGACGCTCTTTTCTGATCTACATTAAAGATACAAGACTGAAAAAACACCAGTAGTGGGGAGGCCTAATAGTCCCCTGGGGTGGGCTGTGAAACCATCTGCCTGAAGATTTTCATCTGGTGTTCCGCCAAACAGTTGCTAATGACTTCAAGACACTGGGCGGGGAACAGTATAGCAGGAAAAGGAGGGGGAGAGGTCGGAAGTAAACCTCTCCCTCCTCTGCAACGCATAAAATTATCAGGAAACTGCACAGCATCTCTAACGTTACTCCCACCCCACCCCACAACGAAATCTCAAAGTCATCCAAGTGGCCCAAACGGCAAGTTTCTCGGAGCTTCAGCGAAGCTTCATAGCTTAAAATTACTTAAAAAGAATCACGTGTTTTGGAAATAGCAGGCAGATTAAGTTCAACAGTAAAGATACTGAGAACTATAGTGTTAAAAAAAATCACAAGACTTTCTACCGAATCATGAATCAACAGGGCCGTCCACCTGCTGCTGGAACAGAAACCACACAGATCCTGGAGCGCCACCCCCCACCCCCACCCAAAAAATGTCAGCAGGGACTTAGTAGGCTCTCAATAAACAACTCTTCCAAATCCAGGCGGGCTTGAGATAAAAAGCACCTGACGAGTAAGGAGAGGGGTGTACCCGGGGAAAAACCGACCCAGTGAAAATCCTGGCTGGCATCTAGACTCAAAACAGACGCCTTTCTGGCTACATCACCAAACGCCTTAACCAAAAGCTCCAGGAGACACCGAGGGGGGTGGTGGGTGGGGGGAAATGGCTTACAACTGGATTTCTCTTTCCATTCGGACAAAACAACGTCCGAACTGGCTGCATACCAAAGACGACAATAACTGTTTCGTTGGGGAAGGGGAAGCGGGGGGATGGAGACCCGCGTACCTCCCGAACCCCAAATAACGATCCCACTCCTGTCCCTCTCCCAAAGCCTGGCGCGCCCCATCTCTCAATTCCCCCGGCCTCAGTTTACAGCTGAAGCACCCCGAAAAGTGGCGCGGCGCCCTCCCCCCCCAACTTCCACGTCCCCGCCCCCCCATCCCGAATCCCACTCGCCGCGCATGCGCGGTGGCCGGGCGGCGCGGCCGTGCCCGTCGCCAGCCCCCTTACCATGTACCAGGTCCCCAGGATGATCGTCCCGGTGCGGACATGGCAACAGCCGCAGCACCGGGTACTGTAGAACCGGTCGCTGCGGCTCCGCTTGAAAGTCATGGACACCATCGGGAACCTCGCGGGCCTCGTTCTCGCCCAGGCCCCTGACAACAGCTTTCGGCGGCCCAGCGGTTGGACCCAGACGACTCTGCGACGCTGCCCAAAGCCAAACGACGCGTCTTCTGGCCCGCCCTCGGCCCGGGTCCCTGCCAACTCCTGAGCGCCTGCGCTCTGAGCACTGGGCGCCGCTCTCGCGCGACCTCGGCTCGGCGTTTCTCCCTCCGCCTTCTGCCACATCGAGACCAATGAGGAGCGGAAGGCTGCGGCCGCTGCCTTCTGATTGGAGAAAATGTGGAGATTGAAACGGCTCACGCCCAATCAAAAGTTCAACTCTCTCCGGCGCTGTTTGGTCGGCGTGAACGTGGCTGGGCTCGCGGTCTCGAGCTGTATGGAGCGAGGGTAGCTCGGTGGTTCACCAGCAACGACACGGGGTTGGTGGCAGACAGCGGGCACGGAGATCTCTGGCGCTGTCCCTTGCCACGTCGTCTGGGTCACAGGCCTGCGATGCTCACGTGACGTGGTCGCCCAGCTCCATTGTTGGGCTGGTGGGGGGGCGTGCCTGTGGGGAAAGGGGCGGTACCGGTGGGGAAGGGGCGTGGTCACCTTCCCGGCGTGGTCCTGGTCCAGGCTCTGGCCGGAGCCAAGGGCTCACCGAAGACTAAAGGGTTGGATTTCTGCCCTTCCCCCTTCTCTCTGAAGCCTACTCGGAGGGAGCCAAGAAATGCCACTGGACTCTGCTCAAGGCCAAGGGATTAAGGAAAATGACAGCAAGATAAAAGTGGGAAAAAAACCGCTTAGCTGCTGGGTTTTCACAGATAGCAGTTTCAAGAGAAACATTGTGAAGCACATTGAAATAGGCCAGGAAAAAAACAGAAAGCAGGGTGTCTTAAGTGAGAAACCAGCTACACTTTCCTGCGTGTTCTGATTCAAGAGTGACCCTCAGGTTTCTCTGGGTTGCTGGGCATCTCTAGAACGGCCTCACTAGACTTTCTGAATCTCCTCTCTTCTCAGAGAATGCCATTTGACACAGGTGGGGTGATCCATTTCCCAATCCAACCTCAACACTGAGTGCTTTAAATTCTCCCCTATAGTTACTTCTAACACCTTAGTATCCTGGTTAACTGAGTCAAATATTTGAGTTTATTCTGTATTTGTGTAAGGCTTGTGGCTACCTTGAAAACAGATGTAACTGTGTGCCACAGTGTGCGGTCGTAGATAATGGGGCTGATCAAGTAAGCACTGAATGTTAATTTCAAAGAACCTCGGAAAATGTATTTGGGGGGGAGGATGAGGAAAGAGGGAACAGATGATGGGATAAAACCATAATGGAAGCCAGTAGATTAATGGCAATAGACATGTCTGTTGTATACTGTCGACTGTGGAACTGGGCATGAGCAGATGGCTCAGTGGGTAAAGTGCTTGCCAGGCAGTCATGAGGAGACCTGAGTTCCGATTTCCAGGACCCATGGAAAGCCAGACGCTACGGCCTTACCTTTCTGTAAAACTCTGTCTGTTACAGACAGACATTGAAATCAGAAGAAATCCCTGGAAGCTCACTGACCAGCTATCCTAGTGTATGAAGAACCGAGCAAGGGGGGACAGAAGACCTGTTAGTTTCTGAGGATCCTAAGATGTCTGTGTGAGTTTATTGCCACGTGTGTGGGGGGATGCCAGAGGAAGCTAGAAGAGGGCATCCCATCCCCCTGGAGCTGGAAGTACAGGCTGCCTGATGTGTGCTGACAACTGAGCTCTAGGTCTCTGGAAGAGCAGAAAGTGCTTGTGTGGGCTTTTGGTTTTTTTTTTTTAAGATTTTATTTTATGTGTATGAGTGTCTTGCCTGCACATATGTTAAGTGTCTGGTGCCTCTTTCTGTTTTCTGTTTTTTGAGACAGGATCTCAGGCTAGCCTCCAGCTCACTATGTAGCCTAGGATGATCTTGAATTTCTGATCCTCTTGTCTCTACCTTCTGTCTCTGATCCTCCTACCACTGCCACAGACAGAATTTTGTGCATGTTAGGCAAACACTTTACTGCATCTCCAGCCCTTACAATCTTGTTAAAAAAAATATCTATCCTTGGCACCTACCTTCATCGGTTTTCCCTTCAGTCCACCCCTCCTCCATCACCATTGCTCTGTTAAACCTAGCCTTATGAGAGTTGCCATGCCCAACCTTTTTCTTACTTGATACCCCAAGGACCCATTGGTCACCGCCTCCTCTTTAACAATCATATTTTATCTCAGTCCATACATACTTTTTAAAGTAACAGTGAAAGACTTAAAAAAAAAAAAGATTGGCTCCTTTCCCTACCTTCTCAGGTCTCCTTACTCATCTTCCTCACTTCCCTCCAGAACCTTCTCTACTTCCTTTGTTTTGAGGCTACCAGGTCTCCTTACTCTCTTCCTCACTTCCCTCCAGAACCTTCTCTACTTCCTTTGTTTTGAGGCTACCTTTGATGCCTGTAGCCAGCCATTCTTCCCATTCTTGTATTTGTCTCTCTTCCTTATGCGACTCCGCAATTCCCATCAAGAGATTAAGAGTCTTGTTTTCTATCCTTTTAATCTGAGTTTCTACCGATGTGGGACAAACAACATTTTAGAAAAAGCATTTGAAACATGCTAGTGCCTTGGCCTTGCCATTTCAGGCCTTTGGCTTCCCAGTGAGGGATAAACAGGATAAGCCATTGATGTTACCCCAGGAGGCACCAAACCCATGAACAGATGTGTGAATATTCTAGATCATCTCTCCTCAGAGCAGTTCACAAACTGACCACAGAATCCAATTAAACTGATTCCAACCAGAGTAGATGTCCAGTTTATCTGGTATGAGCAATTTTTTAAACGTACGATGTCTGCAGCCCAAACTTTCTAAGTGGCTTATTACCCAACAAAAGCTAGTGCAACACTGTCAGCTTTCCCCCTTCGTACTGCAAACAGTTTCATACTCTCTTATTAGTGTTAATAGAAACTGTGTGTGTGTGTGTGTGTAGAGAGAGAGAGAGAGAGAGAGAGAGAGAGAGAGAGAGAGAGAGAGAGAGAGAGAGGAGTGGATGCAGCTGTGTGTGGGGAGGTCAGAGGACAACTTTTGGGAGTTGGTTCTCCTCTAGCACTGTAGTTTCTGGGAACTGAACTCTGGTCATCAGGCTTGCAGGGCAAGCACTTTTACCTGCTCAGTCATCTAGCTGGCCTTTTAAAAAATCTGTTGTTTATGTATGTGCATGTTTGTGTATATAAGTATTGACATGCTACAAGAGTCATGTGGAAGTCAGAGGACACACACACACAGTCTTAGTCATGATTCCGTTGCTGTGAAGAGATGCCATGAACAGGGCAACTCTTAATTTGGGGTTTGCTTACAGTATCAGAGGCTTAGACCATTATGATGGCAGAGAGCATGGTGGCAGGCAGGCATGGTTCTAGAGAAGTGGCTGAGAGCTTCATGCTGATCCATGAGCAGAGAGAGAGACTGGGGCCTGGCCTGGGCTTTTGAAACCTCAAAGCCCACCCCCAATGACACACTTCCTGTGAATCCTTCTAATCCTGTCAAAGAGTTCCACTCCTGGTGACTAAGCATTCAAACATACCAGCCTCTGGGGTGGGGGTGGAGGGCATTCTCATCCAAACCACCACACTGCATACACCTACATTTCTTTAAACCATAAAGTAAAGTTCCAGGAGAGAATGAGGTACTGAATTGATACACAGCCATGTCACATCCCTAACAGACTGTGGCTGACTCATGTGTCCACACATTTGTCTTTCTACCCATCTCTACATCCATTGTCTCTTCATCCATCATCTACTTTGCTTCTCTCTCTGTCTCTGTCTCTCATCTAGGAACATGTGAGATAGAATCACACATAGGCAGGGCAGCTTTGAACTTAATGTCTAATCAAGGATTACACTGAAATTCTGATCCCCACCCCTCCACCTCCCAGATACACACATGTGCTATATGCCCAGATTTATGGGGTGCTGGGTTAGGATCAGGGTTGGGGAGCAGACTCAGGACTTCATGCACACTTTGTGAGCACTCTGCCCATTGATCCGTGTCTGCAGCCCCAACCCTTCCCATACAATGGCATTTTACTGGAAAGATTTAAGAAGCCCTCTCCAGATGCAGAAATAGTGTTTCATAATGGGCACTCCATGTGTGGACAAGCTTCACATCTATCACAGGTCACTGAGTGTGTGTATGAGCTGTCTTACGGCCTGCCTGGAGTAAACTTCTGGGCAGAATGGACGTGTTTATGTCTTTTTATTTACCAAACCACCCAGCACTAAGACCAGCTTGATAAATATTTGCTGATGGATGGGCAATCCAGAAATGGGGTCATTGGCTCTAATGGCCGGAAAGTAGACTATTCAAACTTGTAATAGCATTTATTTTATAGACTCTGCTGGTCCTAGCATTGGCCATGCAAAAGTTATCTCTCACAGTTTTGCATGACATGACCTTGGGTGTTTCTACCTCTGCTGCCCATGTCATTTTTACCTCCCTTGAGAGGTTTGGTAGGGGTTTTCAAGAGCCACCGGCAATTGATGTGTCTGTAGAGCTTGGAACTGGATTAGTCATGGCCATGACTGGCCACTGTTTATGTAGCCTCAGAGCCACCCAGGCTTAGGTGGGTGTCCCAGAGGCCCCAGTGTTTCTCTGTAAAAACATAAGCATTTAGAGCTCCTGTCATGGGCCCTCACCAGAGCCAGGCAAGGCTGGTATCATGCTCTTGAATCTCCAGAACTGTGTCCTTTACACACACACACACACACACACACACACACACACACACACACACACACACACACACACATTTTTTTATGACAATGGAAAACAGCCTAACAGCAATTGTAGTCTGGGAACATAGAGTCTGAGGATAGAATTGCTCTAATGGCATAGTCTTCAAGTCCTCTTGATTCCTAGATTAATGATCCAGTGTGTGGCTGATTCTTCTGTTCTCAGAGACTTCTGAAGTCGAGACCCCAAACTTAAAATACCTAGTGGGGAATAGAAAGCCTTTGATATCCCTGGCTCCTCAAGTAGACAGGAGGGTCCCTTTGGCATTGGGAACCCCATACCGACTGTCCCAAGAGTCTGGGCCTGGGTGAGATTCCAGCTTATCATCTATCCACAGAGTGACCCTTAAGTCTGTTGATTCTAGCCTCTCCCAAAGTTAGTTTTCCAACTCTGCACTAAGAGGGTGACTAAAGGAGAGTTCCCTCCAAATCTGAGCTGTGAGGAAATGCCCCAGCAGGTCCTTTTCTCCTCCTCCTTCCTCTCTCCATCCCTGCAGACTCTGTCTCTAGCTTGGCTATGCATTGATCGCTCCTGTAGTAGCATCTTGCCTTGCCAGTGAACTTGTGGTGGCCACACCCTTTGGGCGTGGTTTCAGGTGTGGACATTACCTATTATAAGGGTAGACCAGGGACTGACTTGAGCTCTCTTGAGTTGCAGAGAGAATCAGAAGGGTA